CTTGACTGTGACGTAATATTCCTAAATTATGTAGATCAAGTCCCAATTTTCAAAACATTAGCTCGGGCCGTTGCATGGTATTTGGATAACGAAGTACCGATGTTGTGGCTTCCGTTCGAAAACACAAGACGATCATGATGATGTTAAGCATCAAATGATCAACGATCATTGAACGATACCCAAAATCATTTGACATCAGTTCATTACGTCAGAACCTCGGGTATTTATACAACCTGCACTGTTAATCTCAACTGTTAAGTGCCCAACAACAAACACACATTACAAAATACAACTTCAACAGTGCATTCCAAATCCATATATTTCCGAAACAAAATATACACCCACATATCCGTCAATTGTTTTTTAAATCGAGTTTCGCCATCTGCTTCACGTCATTTTGGTCAGCTGGTAAAGAGACGTAAAACGATTTGCTGTTACCATGGTAACCATTCGTTGCCATGCAACTATAGTTCCCGGTATCGCTTGGCAGGAGCGGCTCCACTGTCAGAGTATTGCCTTCAACTGTGAGTAGAGAATAAGCGTTCACCGTCTCTGTAAATAAATACTTGGGCGTCTTGCTCGCTGTCAACTGCGCAGTGGATATAAAAGGTCTCTCCCCATTGGAAGTCCGACGAGCTGTAGCTGCTTATAACAACTGGCAAAATAACTTGAATGTTTTGACTCGCAGTTACTTTACTCTCCGCAAAAACAGATTCGTGATAATAGATGTAGAAATGTTACTTTTACTTTAAAATCTAGCTTAATTGATTGCACAACTTATCTGGGTACTGTGACTATGATGACGTCATCGCCGAAGAAAGAACTGTAAATCATAATTATGAATTATTTTGCATTGTATATATTTAATAAAAAACACAAGTAACACATTGTATACTATGCAAAGTAATGCTATAATGCAGTACTGTGACTTACATACGTCAAGATGGATATCCATGCGGTCACATCATGAATACCTTCATCATAGGATGACACCGTGCTAATAAGAATGCTCGAAACTGTAGAAATGGCGAACTGAAACAAAACAAAATAATCACCGTTCCATGGCGTTAAATTGTCATTTCAGTCACGTAACTCGAACAATTCAATATTTCTACATGCATAAATACTGTTCAATAATTTGCGTTTCACATTAAAGCAACATGTCTCATAAAATAATCCGATTACGTGTCCCAGTTTGTATAGTTAGCGCCCTGAAGTGATAGGTACTACCATATTACACTATTACTGCAAATGAGATTACTCAAAATTACAATACAATAGTTACCCGGATGTGCTGACGTAGAGGAAGATGATTGAATATATATAAAGCCTTCGTGCAAATTCTAATTGTAGTTTTGGAAACTGTAATATCATGCATACTGATGAATTATATGAACATAAAAACCACGATCCGTATGCGTAAGAAACTGTAATTGTTCTAGAAAAGTGGAGTAACCTTGTCCGGTCAGTAGCATCAAGCTATTGATCCGTAACAAGCAAACTTTCATCATTTATTCTACTACAAAAATGTAATTCTGGGTACAATACACATCATATTATTTAAGAACTCTCCTAGTTCACCATTGCTCACTATTCTTGCGTTGACTGCACAGTTTCTGTTAGCGAAATATCCCAAACTGCCCCTGTGTAGCCACGCACAATTCAATTTGAGGTACGACAAAAAATTTATAGTTTATCATGGCAACCAGCGGGTTTATTAATATTTTGTAATTTCATCATACACAAATCACAATTATAATCAATTGAAAAAGTGTGTATACGAAACCACCTGGCGCGTAATCAATATCAAATGTACTGTAACATAACTTTAAACTTTCTCGAGGGAAAACAATATTAAAACGTGACACCATGAGCACACAAACGTACACTGAGATGGCCCTGGCAATTATGACGTCAGCCAGTTAGTTATTCAGCGTGGACCAAACAAACGTGTCATTTGGTAGCAAAATAACGGCGTGTGACAGTGGTGAATGCAATTTTCATTGCAATATCATGCATGAAATAAATCTTTAATTTTTGTATCACGTTCAACAAAAACAAATCGAATTCATTATTATGAAATATATTTCCCAGCCGTGATACATTGATTGTCAACTTACGAACACAATTGTGGGTCGGAAACGATTCTTACCTTCAGGCCAAAATATAAACAAAGATTATGAAGAGAATACAAAAGGGTTCCTTGTCTTGTGTCTGTCGGTGCCTGTCCTACTGATAAGAAACAATAGCTGTAACTATCGTTCACACCATCGGTATTATTTTGGTTTATGGTCGTCCGTCACCTCAAGAGATTCGCTAAATTCATGTGAGTCATGTGAACACCACGATTCATGTGAAAAACATTGCCTTCGACATTTTTCGTCGCCGGAGGGCGCGATTTAATGGAAGCGGTACAGTCAGAAGAACCATATCTATATCGTTTTAGCAAAACAGGTTTGTTGACCCATAATTAAGACGAGCTGTGCTATGTTCACAACTAGACTCACTAACCTGAATGAAATTGCGAGTCATTTTAAATCGTGTGCCACTCACTCTATAGAAATGTCATCTCATGATATTATTTTTCCGTTATTTCAACAATTACGTGAAAAACCGTGACGTCCTCCATTATATTTATCGTGTACTTAAACTAGGTCTATATTTCGGGAAACATTATTCATAATTTGATAAAAACAAAACAAAACAAATCAGGATCTTTAAAAATTGTCTGATTAAACAATTGCAAGAGACCACTTCGCTTCTTTCTAGAATTACAAGATGTCTCCAATTGGTTGGTATTTAAATTTTCAGATTGTAGTCAGAAAAATCATAAAATTTTCGTTATTTTAACATGACGTCATTGTTATTGTTACGAACAATGACGTCATTATTTCTTCCACACCGACGATGACTTGGAGAAACGCACGACACACACAATAAAAAGAACTTTTTGACAAAAACTAACGCAGGATTTAGTAAACGGTATGACGGTTGGACTGCATGTTGTATTTGTGAATATCCTCTATCTAGAAATATTGACAGTGGATCATTTCTGGACTTGTGTGCGAGCCGATTATTTTAATTAACATCATTAAGTGCCTTCCTAAATTTTTGTCAGTATATTTGTATCACCTAGAGAATTATTTCCCTAGCTGTAGCATTTCCTACACACGTGAAGAAGAAATTGGTTCAAGAAAAAACATTTACAAGAAATACCGCAATGATTATATTCCGATACTCCAAATGAAAGTAGGAAGTTAAAGAAACTGTAAATTCTGCTTCGCAGCTACTGAAAAATAATTTAAAAATCACCAGAATTATTTATTAGCAACTTTAATATTACTTTAATAATATTTCATATTTGTGTCGTCGTTCATCTGCCACGGGAGGCAATACGATACCGACGAGTTGTAATGCGACATCGTCGGTATTCTTCTTCTTTCTCGACAGCTGGCTTACCTCGTCATTCAGCAGTTCATTTGGCGGGTATCAGCTTGGACTGCTCGGTTATCAAGTAAAATCGTATCAGAAGTCCTTAATGTAATTTTTCTGATGTGGGTCCAACAAATTAAATTTAAAACTAAAACTATTAGATCCATACAACCTGAAATTATTGAGCATTGCGTTTCACTACCACAGCACCTAAACCCGTCCGAAAATAAAGGCATAGTATCGACGTCCGGTTTTATAAGAATTATTCTTATAAAATGTTCTTATAAAATGTTCTACATAAAATGTTCTACAGTTCTACATTCGTTGGTCAGTTTAAAAACCGCACGCGCAAATCACGTGATCTCAAAAGATTGAGACCACTAAGAGTGTTATAAAACAAACATCCACTCAATTTACGGCCAACAGTAGACCGTGACTGCGTTCAGGCAGTGTCATGATTCTGATCGCTTACTGAGTCCTTCTAAAACCTCAGATCTCACATTTTTGATAGGCTGGAATATATTTTTGCATGATTATTGTCACAGATTTCACGATCATTTTTACAACGTTGCGTTACTGTTCGCATAGATACACTGAATCAGTTCAGACTGTTATCGTCGCTAGGCGCCGCAAGGCACAGATGGACAGCGGAATCCCCAGTAAGAGCAACCATACGCATTGGCAGGAAGATGAATATCCGGGCTGACCCTTCTGTCACACGTGCGCATGTCTGTTTCTGACAGCTCCAGCTAAAATGATCCCCCAATATAATCTGGCAGAAGCCAATATTCAAAAGAGTTGTCATAGCAAAACAAATATAGCCTTAGGGAGTATGAATGCATGTTGTAACAGCCACTCGTGACTGATAGTGGTGAAGATCTCAATCTTCGGGAGAATGAGACAATATTCATGGAATGAAATACTGTTATTATTCAAACATTATTGAAATGCTTGAAAACTGGAGTACTTGTACAATGAATGATCCGATCACTATTTGGGCGAGAGTTCTACTATAACATTTTGTTGGCAATGGTGGCAATGATTGTTTTATTTATCCAAAACAAAAAATGCTAAATATTTTATTGTAATTTATTGCTCTCGTATTTGAAAACCATGAAAATTGTCAATGTAAAGCCAACTTGTACCGGTGTTTTGATAAATTTAGTCAAATATTATCCATAACGGCTAGTATTGAACAGCCTCGAATGGAAACACATTAGAATTAAATACCCTGTCAGTCACGAAATAGGATGGTTCAAGTTTCAGCAGATGTCACCCGCCAACTAAAATGTTGCTTCTGTGACACAGTGTTTAGTCATACACATGTGAAGTTGTCATTGCTCTACATACCAGAAATATTGCGCATGCGTGTTAGTTTCAATTCAATTCAAATCATATTCAAACGTATTCATTGATAAAGTGTCAAACAATATTATATCCCATAATGCATCGTTAATGTATTCAAAACATCTGTTGCGTCATTCCTGAAACGGGTTTTCATAATATTCAGTTACAGCTTCAAACTTAACTAAAACATTGATCTGAAACTCAAAACACAGAGACAGTCATTTTCATTGCAAACATGCAAGTTTATTGAGCTGATTACTTACAATAAATAAGAATTAAACCGAAACTACTCTTGACAGAGACGATTTCATTGTAAATACCAAGGTTGCCTAATTTCAGAACACAGATCTTCACATTCATTCATTCAGTAAAGTGATCGAAACTTCCGGACGCTATCAACATATTTTGTATGATAGCGCCCTCGTCTGATAGATCCGCAAAGTGTAACGATCATAATCGGAATCACATCCCTAACGTTTCCTCAAAACAAGACAAACAAACAAACAAACAAACAAACAAACGTAGCGACTAAACGTTTGGTCGGAGTACAAAGTTATAGTTTACGCAAAGTTATAAGTTTATCTAACCATTTGAAAGGACAGTGGTCGTCGCACAACGCATGTGCACGATAAGCCCCCCCCCCCCCCATATTAACAAAGATTGTGACGTACAGAACACCGCGTACAAAAACAAAACATGTTACTGAGTAATTTAGCAGATAATTGGAACGCATAGAATGATGACTAAGGAGTCAAAGTCGGTATTTAACCTTTGAGCTTCGAGTCAACCCATTGTTTATATACGCACAAAATGCACTTAATTTGTGAACACGCGGTCGCGAGGACCACCGACATTTAAAGGGGACAGTCGACGTGCGGCGTCCTGTTCGATATGGGACTCATAGCGACGTATACAACGCGTGTAAAATATATTGTTTATTTACATGAAATTCGAACACGCGCTGAGCGACGACCACTACGCTTTAAGTAATATAGCATTCATAGAATAAACCATAAGTTCATAGTATATCGAGTGTTATTGTGTCATCTGTAATACTGCCACTGAAAGTAATCGTTCCAGTTTGTCTAATCGGGATATAGAGAATTACAAGCCTTACACCAATAAAATAATAATCAATAAATCGATATTTCCACAAGTCACGTGAAGGGTGAGATATGCATTACAACACCCTGTATAGATCCTTCCGCCATTTCAGTTCTCAAGGCACACAGTATCAATGCCCCTGGGCAACACAAACCACGCCACCAACGTCCAACTGCTCGCCCGTCTTCTACCAACATTTCAACCACCACTTGATGAATAGCAAATCTAAACTGTTACCATAGTAACGCGTCAACAATCATCAAACATACATCTATACCCATGTACACTAATGACGATTCTGCTTCGATTGAAGAATAAACGGCAAAGTCAAACTTCAAGTTCAGATTTCCTGCAGGAAAAGAAAATATATGTTAATTTTATCGTATGGTAAGTCATCAAAACGTCAGTGTCCACTACATCTTTGTTATCAAAAAAGACAAAATTGTTATTAGTACCACTGTTGTCGACGTTGGCCGAACGAGTCTGTTCATTTCACTTGGCCAGTGTACGTATGTTTCTAATGCTTCATTAGTGTGGTAGTCGGAAGATGGCAGGATATAGTATTGTAGCGAAGATAAACAGGGGCGGTTATGGGGGGGGGGTCCAAACTTTAAAATCGCCAGACTAAGTTAATGATTTTTTCATATTATACAAATTTTTCAACGGAGGGGTCAGGACCCCAAGAAGACCCCCCCCCAGATCCACCACTGTTAAATGAACACTGTAGTTGATAATATGTCAGATTTCGGGTCAGTACGATAACTTGCAAACCGATTAATTGTTTAGTTTGTCAACAATCTGTAAGCGAAAGTGTTATCAGATACTTTATAATAAAACAATATCTATGATTCTCTATTTTAGCGAAATGAGTATTTAATTAATTTTTGGTGAAACCTAATATTGACTTGGTTTTTACTATATTTAGTCACGGTATTCTACAAGTGGTTATTATATCTCCATATTCAACTCATGATATAGCTAAATTTTGTATTTTTAGGATTTAGATTACTCAATAGGTATGTTATAGGTATGTTATTGTTATTTCCTAATTTAAAGAACTTCATGTACCAGCAAACCTAATCTTTTATTTTATTTTATATTTTAATGTTATTGGGGAAAACACGCGCTCCTTGAAATAACTATATTGTGTAGTAGTGTACTCCACATAACATGGAGACATGTACATGACCACGCACATATTACCGACATCTAGTGTGACTCGGAGGTGCGTGTAAGTGCAGTGATGGTAATAAATCATATTACTGTGGCACCTGTCATGTAATGCATCTTTCACTACCCCCCTCATTCACACACAAGTCGGAGAGAAAGCTGTAATTGCATGCCCAATCGAAAACGTGAATGAGCATCACGTGACTTTATATTTAAACAAGACTTCCCGTCATGCTCCGAGTCCCGGTTGACGTCAAAACACCACAGGAGCTCTTAGGTTGCTGATAAACAGAAGTGAGAGTAGAAATTTATTGATCGCCGTAAGCAGAAATAGTGGATTAAGTCAAAGTTAATAATCATATTTCATCAAAAGAATCATTAAGTGCTCCATCGCGTTTCTCCTTGTTCTTTGACAAAGTGCGCAAGCTCAGTGAATTTATAATCAGAGCCGTTTTAGAGAGGGGAACAGCTGCAGCTGTGATAGATCAGTCCGGCTCTTCCGTTTCGCGTCAAGCCTGAATACGACAATGTTTTTCTCGACAAGCCCATGATATATATGCAACATTCATTTTACAAATCATTTGAATATAATCTTACTTTATTGAAAACGTGTGATTGCATACAATTTGAAACCCCGGACCGTTCAGTCCTGTGTCGGTCTGAGAAGATGGAAGAGCAATGTGATAGGTACACACCAGTTATTTACATATGTGTGTGGCGGCGCAGCAAACCCGGGGACGATATTAGCTAGGTCTCTTCAGGCTTCTGTTAGAGATTGGCGTTACAACGGCGCTGTTGAAATTAGGTGCTTATTAATATAATTACAGTCGTAGTTTCCAGAAAATGATGTGAACCAAAGAAATAATTTGCCCGACTTTGTGTGACTATCGTTACTAATGTTACATCCTTGATGAAATCCAGTACAATATCACGAACCTCATTGATATTTGACTCGCCAAAAATATGTCAAGTTGATTGGAATGACATGTAGATAATAAATCAACTTTCGATGTATCATTAATATTACAACAAACACACAATCATAAAATAAAAATGGGAATGTTTTATAAATATTACTAACAACGATTGTATAAATTTTATATAATTATAAATATATAAATTAAACGAATATACGTAAATTAAAGATATGATGATGAAGGGAAGAGCCGACTGTGATTACTGATCTCTGCTTTCGTGGCGTAGGAGCAAAATAAACGGATAGTGGTATTTTGAAATATCACAGATGAAATAATTTAACGTTTATCGCATCCAGTTGCAATATTGCCCACACATTTCACAATAAAGCGAATCCATCTATATTGTTACAAAAACATTTGCATATCAAACCAATTTTGTCGAACGTGACAGCTGGTGGCGAGGAGTTACCATGGAAACTAATGGTGAGGTTGACAAAGACCACATCATTTTATTAAAACCCTCAATCAATAAAATTCTATGAACAGGTGGGGGATTTTAGATCGAGTCATCGCGCATGCGTGGTTTGGGGCAGTTATAGTCAGCGCCCCGCAGAGTGCATGTGTGTGGTTTTGTTTAATTAATCACATACACTGAACGATGCGACGGCGGCTCCCGCTGAACTTAAGCAAATTAAATCACAGAACCTTGTGTAACACATATTACTGCGAAATCTGGCGATTAAAATTACAGAAGTGTTTGAAATCTGAACATTCGTTTTTAATATTATTATTTTATATCAATAATAATCAGGAATAATCAGAGTACGGACAGTTGCGCTATAGAACTGGCGACTGGAAAGATTTCAAGATATTCAGCTGTGTGGAATGGATGTTTGTTATATATCAAAGCGATAACAGCCGTACTAATTAAGGCTGGAATGTGGAATGAATGCATGCCTTGGACACGTCACGATAATATTTGATCGCCCAGCTCAAATCAGATCTCCTCGCTCAGATTTAGACGTGCTATGCGTCACAGGCGTCCATACTTTCATTGATATTTACATACCAACTATTCAGGACCGGCCGAGCGCGTAACATCTGTGAATGGACTTGTGAATGGTATTGACTGAGTCCGGTGACTTGTCGGAAATGTCGGTATTCGGGGATTTAAAAGGAGGAGTGAGATTGAAGTACACCGTGACTTGGAGCGCGATTAAGGTACGATCCCCGCGAACGCATACAGAGTATGTCGGGTAAAAGCCGCTATCACGGGCGACAGGAATGGTGGCACACATAGTTAACGTAAACAAAACGAAAGCACAGTTACTAACTAGTACGAGAGTATTTAGTTTTACATCCTCTGATAAAGAACGGCTGTGTCCAAACCACAACAAACAGGTCTGGCTGTTATGCGATCATGTTACGCGGTTTTCCCGCCAAAACATTCAGATAACGTGGATCACAACATAAATTCACGATGGATTTAATCAAGGAGTAAAACTAATTAACTCAATAAAAAGTAATACTAATTAATTCAGATGGTGGTGATAATATTTCTAATTTGACGCGACTAAGTTTAATCACATAAAACGATATTATATGAATACACCCTAGAAACGGTCATCTATAACTCAAAAAATCGTCCTTCTTTCAAATGAAATCTACTTTGTTTACTAATACAGTACTGCGATAACTACACGTTTCTCGGCAATCTCCAAGCCCAGCACCCAGCCACGTATTTGTTGACGGTAAAAGTGCTCTGTTTTCAGAGAAAACAACCAAGTTTTTTTATTTAAGATTCCGTGAGCATATTAAATAAGAGTTAAGACTTCTATCAATGGTGAATGATCCCCCGTCTAAATATTCTATTATCCAAAACGTGCACTTACAAGGAACGCCCAATGAAACACTAATAAACTTTAACGGCGGGAAACTGCAGACTCGTAAAAGGATACAAATATAATTTCCTTTACTGTTACGTTGTAAATTTTCAATATTTCTCAATATGGCTATGCAAAGTTGATGTAAATACTTTGTAAAAATGCATATAATGTGAGAAGGCTTATAAAAGGCGATCTCGCGCCCGCCGGTCGCTGTAACGATTTAATCGTTTCAGTGATATCGCCATATTGAAATGTACATTGTTGGGTGAATAAATCTGTCGGCGGAGCTGATGACGTCACGACAGATGACGTCCGACTAGAACACTTCCTATTGTGAAGGAGAGAAGAGGTCAAGTGTGAATGTTTTGTGCCACAATTGATGAAAAGCAGAGACTGACATATATAATATAAGCAGAGAATTTTATGTATATACATTGAAGTTCAAAAATAAATCCATTTGATCGAGTTGCCAGATGTGACTTTCCCACTGATCGCTTTGTGTACACGCACAAACAATGTCGAAAATACTCGTCAAAACAGACTCGATAACTAACCCTGTTCTGATTACCAATATAATGAACACGGTCTCATCAGGAATACTACATTTTGCTGTGAAGTATAAAACTGTTGAATGATCTGCAAGTGTACTGACCTTCCGTCTACGGGATCTCCCCTCGGCTTGCAACGTATTGGTACACTGTTCAACACATTCAGCGAATGTCATACCATCTCGCTCTTGCGTGTAGTCCAGATCTGCTAGTCTAGCCAGGGCTAAGATATAGCTGCAAGCGATACGCAATATTGCCAATTTTGAGAGTTTCTGGTTATGTGAATATGATGGAACTGCCTTGCGTAGCCCCTCGAAAGCCGCACTGATCGTGTGAACCCGGTTGCGTTCCCGAGCGTTCGCCACTATGCGACGCGCACGGCTGAGGCTCTTGTACGATCTAGTCGGTTTTCCAGAATCGGGAGAAATATGTCCCTCGTGTACGTCATCGTCCATCCTTAGAACTGAGGTGGAATGGTCCCTCTCCGCGTAGTTTTCATAATCATCGCACATATCGTCGCCAAACACGTCGTAACCATCCTCGCCTAACTGATCGTCTTCCTTCCTTCGTTTGACGGGAAAGCTTTCCAGCCTCACAGCTTTCCTGGGTTCAGTTGATTTTCTCTTGTTCTTTCGCATCGGCTTGTTATTATTTTCACTCGAAATCCCCATATTTGTTGTACATATGACGGATGTCTGCTTTTCCATGGCGTGTATAGCGCTGCTGTTACCACTGGCCTCGGTGTCACAGGTGTAAGCTATTCGCTCCCTGCTCGCCATGCCTTCAAATGTAAACTGATAGAAGGAAGTGAATTGGATACCGGCGAGAACAGAGCACAGATGTTAAACGTTAAAGTATGTCCACTAGGGTACAGTGTCTAATCCAATCCCGCTGTTCATTTGATATTTATCTCAGAATGTATCTCCACAGCCGTTCCCCAGACACCGTGATTTGAGTTTTCTCCGCCACAGCTATGGCGCTTGTTGGTCAACAAATCTTTCGGTAGAATTGTTACAGAGCCGCTCTCGTTGCAGCAGGTGCGGGGTTCGTTCTGAGCGTAGACTGCCGTGCCAGTGAAGGAGAGACTAGTGTATTGTTGCAGTGCCGATCATCGAATCATTAGTTGGACTCGGCTGTCATTGAATCGACTCAACCATTAACATAAGACTCGCCATCTGTGACATGAGCTGACGGAACATAACAATGCACTGACGTCCGTCTTTATGGGAGAGATCACCTCTTATTTCACGCCGTAACTGGGATATGCCAACAGCATTATAAAAAAACATTCAGATTATAATACGTACCAAAATATAATATACACAGATAATATTTAACCTTAAAAATATGTCATTCCTCGCCATTTCCTATCCTAAATTTGGGAGTACTTCAGTTTATGAACGTGTTATAAATATATTTAAGAATATGTAATTAAGAGTCAGTCGGAAAAAAATGTGCTTGGCGAGAAAATGTACTCGGAGTCGCTCGAAAAATCGACGCAATATCACATCGTTCACTGCAGCCATCAGCGCTAAACCCGATAGGAGACATACTATCGTTGGCGGGATTGTTGAGATACACTCACACTCTATTACTAGGCTGCAATTTTGCGATTTTCTCGAAATTAAAATAATAGTGTCGTATTTATCACGTACGCTAAATCGCATGATTGTACGATGTCGCTTTTTTTTAAAGATATAACATTTTTGTGAAATAAACAAGTGAATAAATTAATCTAACTATTCATCTCAATTCTTCCAATTTCAAATAATTTTCTTCAAAGTTGCGTTCCCACTTTGTATTACGTGCATAACACCTCCTAGTGATTTCTTTTCTGGTCACCATGATAAATAATAAAATCGGTTAGGCAAAAAATTCGGAAACATTGAAGCGAGGCTGCATTTGACGAAAATAAGGTAATGGCGACCAATGACTAAATAAAAAATATTTGTGTTTATTGTTGCAAACGCTCGAGACTATTTGCATAATATTAGAATTCGACTTCAGGCTTTTGTTGGATACGATTACTCACGGACTGCACACAAACCCGAAGACACTATGAGGTTTGCAGGAGGTTCTCCGCAGGTCATGCACAGTGAGAATGCAAATTTATGGGTATATCAAACGCCCCCCATTCATTACCACGTGTTTCCAAGCACATTGTAACATATGTACCCCTTTCGTACGTATTAAATAAATTACAACTCTCCATATTATATATTTTTTATGTTATTTGTATCCAATCTACACGATGCTATACAAGAATATTGTGAATTAAAAAAATAGTTTTGGAAAAGTCACACACAAAAAAAAGAATCAATAATATCCCAGGTTTACCAATTTTTAGAATCAACTCTGTGTGTACTAATTTGCATATACTGAATTATCTGTGTATGACAGCGGGCGCAATGGTAAGACATACTTGTACATATCATGGTGAAATGTTGTATACACAGGTATTATGTCGATTAAAAATTCAAACATTTTTTTAAAAAAAAAACTGTGATAAAATTTGACTAGGTAATTTGGCATTTTCCCCGTCCGCAGGTAAAATTACTTAAACAGGAATTCTGTATTACGCCCCCCCCCAAAAAAAGTATACCGGAAGAGAATAAACACTGAAACTACATATATGCTAGTATTTGGTCATCAATGTTTGTCGTTTCCGAATTCTTGTTACGAATTCACAATACAGTTATGACCCATTGTGCTGTTTTGTTTATACTTTAATTTACGTTACGAACATATGGATGGTGCACAGATTTAATAGAAATACCCGACCTAGATTTTTCATTGGTGTGTTGTTTTTTACCTTTTTTCACAGTGGAATTCAGTTATTTTACGGGGGCGCCTGTATAAAATTGAGCTTGCATCGGCGGCAACATCGCATCACTGCTGTGCCAGGATATTGATAATGAAAACAACGTGTGTTTTAACACATATACACACTGGGTCACGGTTTTTATGTTTGATTGATCCCCGCATGACGTTACACTCAGTGGAGGAGACAAATAACAATTTACACACATGAACGCATTGCAGTTTGCCGCCTATAAAAAGCTGCGCGGGATTCAATAATGCCCTGCACCATTCGATCATGTGATCGTAAAGTAGCAACGGCCAGACAGGCAGTACTTTCTTTTACGTAGAAATGTACACCCGACCTAACCACTACTCAACCAAACAAACGATTATTAGTGTCCTACCAAATATTTGATCTAATTTTCTGAAAGTCAAATTCGTAGCGGGTATTGTGGAATGCAGTATGGGCTCAATATTTCTGCCAAAAAACCCACATTTTGAAATGCAATAATCTGAAATCACTGGAAAACTTTTTAACCTCATTATTATAACTGCCATTACATATCGTCTCGGATATACATGATAGTGACAAAAAAAATGACCATCAGTCGGCCATATTGAATTTGACTATGAAATAAATCATCTCTAAAAAACAGCTGCGAGCAAATTCTAATAGTAAGTCATCGTAGATAGGGTGAGAATTTGGCGACCCATCTGAGGTTTCTAACTTGCGAAAGTACTCGGAATCTCCAATCTGCAAGCAGATTTATTGGAATTTTTAGTACATAAATATTCTAATTAGAGCAAATGACTCGCCGTTATTTGGAAAATAGCACTACCGCTGTGACGATGGCATTTGACCCCGTGGGTTTATTATTTAAATGACTGTATATTTCAGATTTTATCAACCGACCCAGACTGATCACAACCTGTAGTCTGTTTGCCCGCCATTGAAATCCTCCGTATTTACACCACGTGACGTCACAAACAAACTGGGCTGCCAGGCACGGACTGTCCGTCATAAAAGGCTCAAGTTGTTTGACCGTGATTTTTATACACAGCTGAGAAGGATGATGAGAATTAAATTTCAATTGGCAAACCAGATTTACAAATTATGTATTTCATTTGAACATATTTTGAATAGTAACAGTTGAATAAACAATGTGTAAACTGTGAATAGAAACAAAAATAAGTCAAATCATGATTGAAACGTCAACATCTTGCTTTGAAATATATTATTTTTTAAACATTGGCCGTGAACCTCCCTGCTAGTCAATATTGCAAATGAAATTTTCAATGCAAACGCGAATCAAAATCTAAATCTCACTGCAAGTGAGAAACCTTTCTATCCTCAAACCCATTATGCTCGTGAAGAAGATATAACGTTCATTATTTTTAAGGCAGTCTCAATGCATATTGCTTACTGATCAACTTGATTTTACATCTCACGTATGGACAAAAAGTAATTCAATAAAACGGATGGATAACGAAGTAAGGTATTGGTAATTATGAAATCCGGCAGCTTTGGAGAGGGACTATATTTAGGAACTCTCCGCGCATTTTTTACTTATACTACAAATTATCACGAATCAGTACGCAAACACAACCAGCTGGAGTGCGAGTAGAAAATACAATCAAAGCGAATGAAATGCCGCGATACGACAGTATAGAGGGACTAGGACTTACACTTTCAAAACAACTAAATATTACGGACTAAGATAAATGGTTGGGGTAAAGTTAACGGCAGTCGAGATGCGACGTATGGAAGCTACGTGTGTGAAGTATATTGTTTTATTTTCACTTAATTCGAACGCGACCTTTTACAGTTACCACGCGTTAACGGCATTCTTGTATAAACAACTCAAACGGATACCAACGATCGCATAATATTCACTCAAACGACTCTGCCAGGTGTATTTGAAACTGACATCATCACCCAGCCCCGAGAGCCAATCACCGATGACTTTAATGTTTCGCGGCGATAATTAGGCGATAAAGAATCAGATGGCTAAATTTACGATTTCGTCATTGTCTGCCTGGGATCGGAAAATTGTTTTCCACCATTCCCTGTATGTTTTCTTATAATTTGCGAGGATTCCCCGAATAGTAATAACTAATTCGCACCAATTGAACACCAGCTGGCGCACTCCAAATAGCGTGCTTTGGTTGCTGGTTAAAATTACTCTGTAAAATGAATACTTCTAGAATACCCCCTTTCACAAAGTTGCGCCCCCTAGCAGCGATGCGAGTTGGTAAAATGAATGTATTTGCAGCACTTATATTATGTTATCTGTAGTCGCCCGTTTCATCACTAGCAGTCGCGATGAACAAGTATATAACAGGCTGTTCCACTGTTCCTGGTTTTCGATGAAAACCCCCCGCGGGGACGAGGTGCAAACTTTCTCAACTAATAATAGTCATTATTTTCAATCACGCGAGGCTGGCAATACATATTCGTGATCTTGACCAACAGAAACGCCATCATGCTAACTTTGAAATGTTTTTATATACGATACATTTCAACCTTGAACATATGCACAATAGTTTTGTTCGTTTCAAAGGCATTTATATCGGATGGAAATTGTGTTATCGGCTGGCTTAATATTACCCCAACGGATCGTATTTCTGTGAAAGATTGGTATTTTTGTCCAGATTTGTAGGAATCCGAAAAACGCGTTTCACAACTTGTCTCTTATTTAGTTTTATGCTGCATTCAAGATGGCGGCCCCCATATAGTAAATATCGTATTTATTTTATTATTACGTGTGCGTGGACCGCCACTACAAATATGCATATTAACGTTGTAATATACCGGGGCGAATACATCTTTTCAATGTCATTGTATTCAAAGTAGCGGATACAATTAGCAGTTCCTTCACGCGAATAATTTTTCCATGTGCGATTCTTTGCGGACAGGAAATTCGCGATCGGGCATACTGAACAAATCGGGAACTTCTTGCACGCTAGACAGTGGTGTTAAGTCATCGTCCGAATCAGAAACTGAGTCGCCATTATTACAATGATTCTTGCCCGGATTGGAACACCCTAACATACGTGTTATTTTGCGCGGACGTGACGATTTTCGTCTTGCAAGATTTTGCTCACCAAAATGTTCTCTTCATGCGAACGCACGAGTTTTCTTCGAACATTCAGAAGGACACGGAGATCGCCGTTTCAAACGAACGACGGCAGCCTTGGAAAGGGGACATCATTATTTCGACTACAGTTGACATATGAAATGATTTTAGTCAATCTTTTCATTGATCAACTGTGTCTCATTAGTGAATCTGTTAGGGTAATTCTGCAAAACGCATTAAAAACAACACACAAACCAACCTACTTCTCTCTATAATCTATACGAAATTTCTATTGTCCGGCGAATGGGCCAAGTATATTCTAATGGTTAAAGGGCGGTGGCCGTCGCGCCGCGTCCTGTTCGATATGGGACTCTTAGCGACGTACACAACGCGTGTAAAATACATTGTTTATTTACTTGAAATTCGAACAAGCGCTGCGTGACGACCACCACCCTTAACTCGATTATCTTAGTTGAGTTATTTGTTTAATTGTGATACATCTGATACATTTCTCTGAAATAACAACACGTGTGTTAGGCACATGTGATGCGTGTATGGCGTCGTTGGGGCTAAGTATATTTTATTGGACATCAGACGGACCAATGCCGATGAGGGCAGTATGACTAACTGAAAGACGGAAACGGAAATAAATTCGGTGGACCACAGACTATATCGAGACACAAGTTCAGCGTACTAAAGTTGTATTGTCGGCAAAACTTTAGATGAAAGCCATCTCAATTTTGAGTAATTTGGCTGAAAATTAAATCTGAAAGTTATGGTGCTCGCGAGTTATGCAGATCGGAGGTTGGTAAATTGTGTCGTTTATCGACTAACTTGATTTTTTTGTCCTCACTACTGTAACAATAAACCACATCATGTATTGCCAGTGTTCGGATTCTGTCCCGGGAGGGCGCTACACAACCAACTTAGGAAGTACGCAATGTTCCAAGTTCGCTCGCACGCATAGTAACACGTGTAAAATAGTCGCCATGCAAATTCGAAAGAAGGCAAGACCTATGCAAGAAACAACACAAGAGTTCGGTGTACATCCCCGATGTTTCACATCGAATATTGATTTTGTAATGTAATCCAGCTTTTCCATCCGTCTACCGATTGTCAATTCGGTGACTTGATGCCACCCCAAGATGCTAGATACTCAATCATGATCATAACTACTCGGTGATGTTCGGCTAAAGTGAATCCAAGGCAGATATCTCTGCTCTAATCTCACGGCTGCCACATTCACGACAGACCGAGTACACGTATTACTCGACAAACACAAGAACGATCTATACAGATTCCCTCATGAAAATCAATGTTCACGACACGGTGAACCCCTTGTACATACTAAGTGATGACACGAAAACATTTTCATCACAACAGTATCAAATAAATTCATTGAAGGACGAGTTGGACGGACAGACCTGTGTATTATTGCTACTACACGTGTATTACGTGTGACGAACTCAGTGATACTTTGTCGCCGTGGATGGCGCTCTAAAACGCCTACCACTCCACCGTTGCCACTTTGTATTACTAGTATACACAAAACACCTCCCATTGGTTATTGTGATCACCGTAAGAAGTGAAAAATCAGTTGGTATGGCAACAAATCCTGAACTACTTGATATAGAAACGAGGTAGTAGTGTTCAATCAAAAATAAATCAGTGAGGGCATTTTGATGTTCACGTGACTTAGTATACGCTTTTAGAAGAGCCTGTTAAATACATGATTTTCCGTTCACTGCGAGATCTCGCGTAGAGCGTGAAAGGCGCGGCCGCAAAAATAAATTGATTGAATTTTTCACTTCATTTTCTTTTTTCTACATCTCAATACGAAATTGTCGATCTTTCAAAGGGGGATAAGGCGTTGAGATACCCTTACTTCATCAAAAAAGACAATCATCAAATGCGTACACCCCAACAAATACTTTCGCATTCGTCGAATTTCATACGATATTCCATTTCTTGATAGGATTTTGCAGGAACGTTGACTGTATACATAACAAAGCCCCAGTGATGCATATAGGGTCAGTTTACTAACATAAGTGGAATGTAGCATTAACTGGTTGGAATATCAATTCAGCTGCACTCACTCACAGTTCATGAATTAGTGATTTGTATTTCTGTTATTGAAGTGCTAAATAGTGTTCTACGAGAGGTCTACCCAAGGCACATGTACACTAAGTATCAAAGCAATCAGATTTTCAAGGAGAAGTCGAAAAAAGTAAAAAGTTGACGCGGACAACGGACAATCACTTATATAAGAAACGGTTATTTTCCAAACAAATTCTCCTGAAGTAATTTGATTATCAAACAGATTCACGGAAGAATTGTTTTTGTTCAAAAAGTTTTCGATAAAATATCAAGAGTTTATATAACGACATGTACCGCCAGAGATAATACCCAACGGTGCCAACGTGAAATCGCGCCCTCTACCGTAATATAGCGTGTATCTGAACAAAAAGACCAGAAAATTGTATTTTAGGCCATGCTTATCTCGGCAACCATTTGCGTATGAGGTCACCATCTATTCAAAAGTTTTAACCTCAAAACTTCATTGCCGAACAGCTCAACAAAACAAACGAGACGAGTAGAAAATGCCACTGTTTAAAAATTCTGTTCCACAATACCGCTTACTGGCTAGCGACATTAGAACATACTTGGACATGTATAAAGCGGTAGGGCCGTCGCCTGCGCACGCGCTGGAATATGATAACACACGATATAAACGCAAAGGCTCATGGGTAGACGCTTGTTTATAAACAATGACACGCTATGGTCATCTGACGCATGCGCAGGTGACAACTCCCCCGCTTTAAATAATTATTACGCACATTAATTCTTTATAGAAAATGTTATTTGCAATGAAGATCTTTTTTCATATGAAATTCGAATTGAATGCGAGGGTAAGTGATCACTGTCGGTCAGGAAAATAAATACTCATCTCATGCTAATTAATTAGTAAAACCGTGATTATTAGTTCATTACAGTGATAATACAATTGTCTGGTAACACTAACACATATTGTGCAGATTCTGACTTGTACTTATTTTAAAATGCTCTTTATAAACTAGTTTCAACAAAAACATATGCTAAATTGACAGATGATACTAGCGCTAAATTGGCTCTGGCTGTGGAGTCTTTCGTCTTCACTGAAAATATTATAATAAAGGTACATGTACACTGAAAAAATTGTTATATTATTAGCGTTGTTAATCAACCTACCTAATTTTAAATAGATATTATGAATATGATTTTCGCTGGCGTATGTGCCAGCTGTTTTGTTCATCCCAAAGTCAAATAAAATCATTAAAGGGCGGCGGGCGTCAGTGCGTGTTCGAATATTATGTAAACACGCGTTGTGTACGTCGCTATGAGTTTAATATCAAACCCTTAAAGATTATGCACTACGTGATTGTCCCACATTCCCCTAAAATTGACTATAATTGATTTGCTTAGTAACGCGGGATTGACAGATTGTAAACAATTTTGTTATTTTATAAATGTCTGATCCATAATTCTGGATGATAATGCGCAAATACTCGTATAACATTATTATATATCAAAACCCATCGTTTCACTTGCAATATTCAGTACATAAGTTTACATTATTTGTTTTAGAATCAATTATAACTGCGTTATAATCGCCTAAGTAAAGTATCTCGTCAATTAATTGAGCTTACTCGTGTTTGCTTGCGTGAATTACCCAATTATCAGTATATAATAATATTAAAGTGGGATGGCGACACAGTGTTGCCATTTTTTTGTTTTTAAGTGTTGTAACTTTCAAAATAGTTCGAAAGGTGACATCGAAATACTGTTTGATCTGAACATGTTTTTTTATGATTATTGATGTTTCTTTTCAAATGGGTTCTTGTTAAACGCTCGTGCATACATATTGTATACATGTTTCACAATATCTTGTGGGTCATCGGATGTACAACCTTGATTAAACTCCTTAAAATCAGGAGAACGATCAAAAATATAAGAAGCCAACATAATAGAAATCCATGCAGTGATCCCAGATGGCGTGTACGTTTCACCGTTGTCTTTGTACTTGAAATATACATTACTACCACGATTTCCATAGAGGGGGACTTGTCTGATGCAATGTATGTTCTTTTTCGATAAGAAATTAACAAGTGGCATACTGAACACGTGAGACACTTCACTTCTGTTAGGTACAGGTTCAAATCGACTGTCAATGAATCCGATGACAGGTGCAACAGAGTTCAAATCGTTTGTGAGGCACGGAATGGCTTGCACGATACTTTTAACGCTGTCCTTTGGCAAACCGATCTCTTCCCCTGCTTCTCTCAACGCAGTCTCTGTCAAATTAGCATCCGAGTCATTCGCCTTACCACCGGGAAACGTGACTTCACCGCCATGTGAACGTAGATGTGCAGCACGAACAGTGAATAAAACGCGTAGATCATCATGTCTGAAAAACAATGGCACCAGCACAGCAGACTTTGGAGGATTCAAATCTTCAATCCACCTTGCAATATCTGGATTGTATACGTTCTTCAGTTTCCTTGCAATTCGACTAACCATATTTAGAGCACTTGCAACCTGGAATATTTTAACACATACAATCAATAAAGTCCATGTAAATTACATAGTTCCCTCGTCACAAACTGTGAAAATTCCTCCATGAGGAAAAATGCAAGTCAGTACAAAAATATACACTAGACACAATGGCCGACGAGATCTCGTTTAGAACGAGAGAGCCACGAGACTTGTCCCTTGAGTAGTGTTCGTTCTTTCCTGTCATCGCGTTCGGTGTTCCAAATCCCATGGTTTAATACAAGGGAATATAATACGAAGTGTGAATGCAACTTTAAGCTGTACATTGTACACTGATTCACTTGCAAGCGAAAGAAAAAGATGGCTGTGAGATTGCATCCCGGTCTCAAGAGTTCTTCAGAATAGCGTAGCCGTTGAATTTTTTGTCAACAATACAACTAATCAGTTCTGCGCATGCGTATGAATGACCAAGGTCGCAGTGACCGACGTTCGAGTATTATTATTCATGGCACTGTGGGAGAGAGACATGTCCTGAAATATAAATGCAAACATTGTATGTCGGCACGTAAAATATTGATCATTATAGTTATGTTGTATAGTACCTCTTGCTGATTGATGATCCGGGTGTATGCGGGCGTGGAATAATAAAATTGCTGAAGCGCCTTTTGAATCACTGATTATGTATCCAACGACGAAGACGTCGACCTGCCTCAGTGTACTGTGATCACGGACTGCTATGTCAAGGAGATAGAGAACTGATATACCGACATTCCCTTATATAATCTGCTTATATAAATCATAGTGTACTGCGACCATGTAGAGTCATGTATGTAGTACGTGTCGTCTATTCGTCAACCTTTCGTCCTACTATAAGATGCCCTCAACGCTGGACTTTGATTCAGTCACCCTATTGAAAGGTGGATATTGTTGACTGAGTTGAACTAATTTCTACACAATATAATATTATACCATTTCGTGATGCACATATATCAATACGTGATGCACATATGTCATTATGTCACAGTGTAAGGCCTGCTTTATCGCAAATGAGAGGGCCACCTACAGAACTCACACTGGACAGGGGGTTCTTTCACTGCTAGTATGGGGTAGACAAGACAACAGTACTTATTGGAAATGAAATACACATACACCAAAATATTAAGTTAAAGCTCCTGGCTTCAATACCTCTGAAAATAATTACAAGAAATAAAGCACAGAAAAATACAATGAACAAAGTCACTAAAATAGGGGATTGCTTAGGGAATTGTGCATTGGTGATAACTCACAGTTCCAGGATGTATTATTGGACGACAGTCAATGGCTTCTGCAACACAACAACGGAGAAATACAGGAGTCATGCTTGCAGAGGAACACTGGTATTCTGGAGGGCACCGCTGAAGCAGGAGATCGCAGAGCAGCTCATACTCGTCTCACAGAATGTGGTTGTCGCCTGTAATATCGTATCGTGGCAGAACACACAGAAAGCAAGTTGAAATGAACGACCCCAAACTGTCCTCAGTCTGTCCAATTTATAGGCAGTGACACCACCTTGGTTTCCACATGAGCCAATCAGAATGTAATCTTGCTAGCAGGTGCGTCACGTAGGCAACTCAGTAGATCAAAAACATCGATTCCGATTCTCCTTCCAAAGTTGTAAACAACATTTGTTATGTAAATTACAAGCACACCTGTTAGAACCCACTGTCCTTCCAGAGTCGAAAATAAGTATGACCTGTCAATCACCTTTATGACAGTTATCACAATACACACCGTTTCTTCCCATGATTCCATGCACACTTCTATTTGCAGGGTTTGAGGTAATATGACAAAAACATAAAATATGGGATGCTGACACATTACGTGATGCACATATATCAATACGTGATGCACATATGTCATCACGTGATGCACATATATCAATTCACGATGCAGGTATATCATTACGAGTTTTACATATATATTTACAGTTGTGGTCACATTTAAATATTAAGATTTAGCGAGTTTTTACATCAAAATAGGGGCCAGTATACCGTATTCGATCAGATCACATCCCATAATTGAGTGCATAAGTACGATGATGGTTGTATGTGTACCAACTTTTAACATAAGTGCCAACCTGCAATAATCACATTCGAACTCACTCACCGCGGATCTTTCACCAACTCACATTCTCACCCATCAACAAAAAAAATCTTCCGACGGTCAATAGCAATTATTCCTTCGAAAATGCAAAGTTTGGCCAGCAAGAATTATTGCATGAAACACGAGGAAAATAGCAATGGACAAATTGTCAATTTTCGCATTTTGTCATCAAAGTGTATGGATTTGTTATCTGTTGTTTATCAATATTATTGTTGATAACTCAAGTGGAACTTTCAATAATATTGTTGGAGGTCCATGTGGAACCCCAAATAATATTGTTGGTGGTCCGTGCGGAACTTTCAATAATATTGTTGGTGGTCCGTGTGGAACCCTAAATAATATTGTTGGAAGTCCGTGTGGAACCCTAAATAATATTGTTGGTGGTCCGTGCGTAACTTTCAATAATATTGTTGGTGGTCCGTGTGGAACCCTAAATAATATTGTTGGTGGTCCGTGTGGAACCCTAAATAATATTGTTGGAGGTCCGTGTGGAACCCTAAATAATATTGTTGGTGGTCCATGTATTACCCTAAATAATATTGTTGGTGGTCCGTGTGGAACTCTCATTAATATTGTTGCAGGTCCGTGTGGAACTCTTAATAAAATTGTTCATGGTTCATGTCAAACTCTCAATAAAATTGTTTGTAGTCCATGTGACCTTCTCAATAATATTGTTCATGGTTCATGTGACCTTCTCAATAATATTGTTCATGGCTCATGTCAACCTCTCAATAATATTGTTCGTGGTCCATGAGACCTTCTTAATAATATTGTTCATGGTTCATGTCTACCTCTCAATAATATTGTGTGTGGTCCATGTGACCTTCTCAATAATATTGTTTGTGGTCCATGTCTACCTCTCAATAATATTGTTCGTGGTCCATGTCACCTTCTTAATAATATTGTTTGTGGTCCATGTGACCTTCTTAATAATATTGTTCATGAGTCATGTGACCTTCTCAGTGATATTGGTCGTGGTCCATGTGACCTTCTCAATAATATTGTTCGTGGTCCATGTCACATTCTTAATAATATTGTTGGTGGTCCATGTGACCTTCTCAATAATATTGCTCATGGTTCATGTCAACCTCTCAATAATATTATCTGTGGTCCAAGTGACCTTCTCAATAATATTGTTCATGGTTCGTTTCAACCTCTCAATAATATTGTTCGTGGTTCATGTCTACCTCTCAATAATATTGTGTGTGGTCCATGTGACCTTCTCAATAATATTGTTCATGGTTCATGTCTACCTCTCAATAATATTGTTTGTGGTCCATGTGACCTTCTCAAAATATTGTTCGTAGTCCATGTGACCTTCTTAATAATATTGTTCGTGGTTCATGTCAACTTCTCAATAATATTGTTCATGGGTCATGTCTACCTCTTAATAATATTGTTCGTGGTCTATGTGACCTTCTTAATAATACTGTTCGTGGTTCATGTCTACCTCTCAATAATATTGTTTGTGGTCCATGTGACCTTCTTAATAATATTGTTCATGAGTCATGTGACCTTCTCAGTGATATTGGTCGTGGT